GTGAGAGCAATCTGGTGGCACTGGTACTGTGGAAAGATGCCAGTGCCCCTGCCTTCTGGGCATAGCAGATGTGATCAAGAGTCAGGTCACAAACCAGCAAGTGCCATTTTGTGGCACCCACCCCGTGGCGGCTCATCCGCTGGAAACTCGCCAGCCTGGAATGGCTTAGAGCCTACTCCCCGGGGCCACACAGTCTTCCTGGGCCAGAACCGCTGACCGACCTGGGTGCGCCCTACGACGGTCCAGTGCCCTGGCGCCCATCACACCGGGAGGACGGCTGTGACAAGCAATGCATTTGGAAAGGAGCAGCTTTGGCCACTTCCCCTCCATCTAAACAGGGATTAGGTGAGGAACCCATGGGAGGGAAGGAGGGAGTTCTCCAGAGCTCGCTCTTGCCCTAACTCGTAAACTTCAGACCAGGGCTTCTCTAGAAAGGGCGAAAGATCACCAACCTGGTCAAGTCTTCAATGTCCACCAGCATGGCATCCTGTTCCGTGTGCAGCTCATCTCGGATGAGCAGCAGCTGGACCAGCTCTTCATTCAAGCCTGAGGCAGAGAGAAGAGAGCACTTAAAAACAGGCAGGACTGTATCCAAGTAAGACTGCATCCAGGTCAGAATGGGTAACGATTTCTGGGCACATGTATCACAGATCGATCTATCGATCTATCTATCTATCTATCTCTCATCTATTTATATCATTTCTGTTAAAATTTAGAATTTTTATATGAGCTTTTCATAAGCTCAGGGGAAGCCATCAATTTGAGAACATCACTAATCTGCATAATTATAAGAGTGTTGGAAGGAAAGGAGTAAAGTACAAAGGATTTCCAAATACATTAACATTAGAGTGCGAAAAATTGTTCACTATTAGGGAAATAGCTTGTTAGAAAAAGTGGCGTTTTGTTTGAAAAACAAAAAACAAAAATGTCTGGGGTTTATTAAGTTTTCCACTGCACCTGCCACACTGAGAGTCGGAGGGGCCGCTGGGCCTGACTCAGGTGCCTCAGGGATGCTCCGGGCTTCCCACGGCCCAGGAAGGAGCAGCCCTGTGTGCAGGTTGCTCTGGGGAAAGTATTAGCTCAAGCGATCGGAAAGCCAGGGTGTAAGGCCTGAGGAAATCAGCCCCGAAGTCTCTGGACAACAGGTGCCAAGGGAAATATTCCTCAGGGCTTATGCTGGGAAAAAAATGCACGGACACATTTCTCATCTTCCTGAAATCAGTGCACGGGTCAATCTGGCTTCTGCCTCTAAAGGGGATGAACAAGCAAGGGCTATCTCTTGCCTTTTCCCCTCAGTTCAGCTAAGAATCAAAGCATGTGAGTCTGGACACATGGACACAAGAGGAGAACACCCATTTAGCGAGAGCGCTGGGCCCGGAAACCAAAGAAAGGAAGTGGGTACTCAGCCAGGTCCCCCTGGGAAGTGCTTTTAGAGATCCTGACTTCAAATGATGCATTTGTCTGCCTTTAGTTCAGACTAGTTTCCAATTTTAAAAAGAAAGGGAGAGAAAGAACCAAACAAAGAGGCCCGAAACATCATCAGCCCCTGAAAAGGACGAGATGGCAATTTATTAGTATTTAAAAATCCAAGGAAGATGCTTCAGTAGTAAAATATCACTTGACAGAGTAAGCTCCCAGTAATTTACTCAACTAAATTAAAATGTAGAATTTTTAGAAATCCACTGAATCTATGGTTTCTTAAAATGTTAAACTCGTTCTCTCAATTTTACTTTATTTTTGATTAAAAATATTTTTACGATTAAGAATTTTTTATGTTGACATTATTGCTGACTCTCCCATCACCCTCTTTGCCCACCCTCACTTCCCTCAGCCTCCCCCTCCTCTCTTAGCCTCCCCCTCCCTTGGCCTTCACCACACGATTGTCCCTGTCCATGGGGCATACATATATGTTCTTTAGCTAATCCCTTCGCCTGCTTTATCCAGCCATACCACCGCCCTCCCCTCTGGCTCCTGCCAGCCTGTGCCATGTATCTATTATCCATGTCTCCAGTTCCATTTGTTCATTAGATTCCACACATTAGTGAGATCAATGGTATTTGTCTTTCTCTGACTGGCTTATTTTGCAGATGAAAGAATTCTTTATCTCTTCTTGATTTTAAAACAATACTGAATATATTAACTTGACACTGAAGATGTCCAATTCTAATTTTTCCAATGTGTTCTTGGGGTAGGCTTTTATGCTAGTACCTAGTACAGTGCCTGCATTGTGCATAGGAATTTCTTCCCCATATGAAGTTTTTAACTTTTTATTATGGGAAATTCCAAACTGATACAAAAGCAAAGAGCATAGTTTAAGAATGCCCCATGCATCCATTAGCTTCAACTAGCCAATCTTGACGCAGCTCTCTCCCTTTCTCCTAGTGGACTATTTTAAAGCAAATTCCAGACATCATATTATTTCATCTGTTGATGCTTCAGTATATATTTCTAAAGATGGGGCTCTTTTTAAAAAAATTACCATAACCACAATATCTTCATCATATCTGAATAAATAAATCTTTAATAAAACATTTAGTCAGTGTTCAATTTCCCCACTTAGCTCCTAAAAATGCTTTTTATAGTTAGTTTGTCTGAATGCATTTGGTTGGCATATCTCTTAGGTGGCTTTATCTGTAAGTGCCACCATATGTTCCAGAGGATTTGTGAGCCCATCTGGCCTAACCACTCTGCCCAGGTGGGCATGCTCTCTCCTTCATCGGGCCAAGCAACAGACCTTCTCTGCACCTCTAATTAGTGTGAGCGAGCACCACTCACTTACTACCCCTCCCCACTGCAGTTATTCTGGGGGAAACAGGCCCACATATCATCACCCTGTAATTTTCACATATTGGTCCTATCTACTCTTACCACCTGGAGGAGTACCACAAATAAGTCGACTTTGATTTGATGACCCAAAATGAATGTACGTACCAGTAAAGTTGAGGATATCATTGTATAACAAATGACCTGTAACTACTAAATTGTATTCTAGAAACAGGTGTTGCAAGCCAGATGCTTGCCAAGTGCTTGCTATTTAAAATAAATAATCAGGACCTAACCTTGAAAAATTCTTAAAGTTTCTGAATATTTCTAAGGAGAGAGAGAGAGAGAGAGAGAGAGAGAGAGAGAGAGAGAGAGAGAGAGAGGGAACACTTGCAGGCACACAACCAGGAGGAGCCCAATGAAATGCTGTACAAAGGGTCTAAATTGAGGAAGTGGTGCTGTCCCATTGCATTTCCCACTTATTATTCCATTTTCAAGCACACCTGACACTTACTTTCTATCTGAGAATGGAGATCATTGACTATCACTTGTAGCTGCCCAATAGTCATGTCCCTCAGGTCAGCGGGCTTTAAACTCCTCTTCATCAAGCATTCGCTTATATGAGGCATGTGTGGCAGCTGCGGAGACAGAGGGAAGGGATGGACGTATGAACAGAGCAGCAAGTACATTGAACCCAAGACCCAGTTTCCCCCATAAAGACCGCCCCTCTCATCCACCCACTTTCAAGTTCTGGGCTTAAAAGCTTTCCCAGTCTAACTTTCTCAACGCGAGGCCCTACAGACTACAATGTCTGGAACACTATCAGCATCAAAATGCTATCCTACTCAAACCAAAAGCTTTCAGACTGGCTCTTACACAGGCTGTGACAACCATGAGTCCATTATTCTATACATAAATGAATTACCGGGGAGCTCAAATAATATCGATGACATGGATGAAATTAATATCAGCTATGTATTAATTCATAGCACACCACAAGCACTGTGCTATGTGCTCTGACACGGGTGTTATTGTTTATACCCATTTTATAGATGAGAAAGCTGAGAGTTATGTAACCTGACCAGAGCCCCACAGTAGGGCAGTAGCAGAGATAGATTTAAACTCCAAAGTGCCAGGCTCTTATCCACTATGCTACACTGTCTTTGTTGGAAGGTGGGACTGAGAGCATAGCAGTAGTGAGTCTGCCACAACCAATAGGTTCTTAAACTGAAATTGCTTTAAAGGAATTTAAATAGTCCCATGACAGCTAATATTGTCCCTAACAAACAAAGTAGACCTGAATCAAGAACAAAGTTTACTTTTGTGAAATCTGCTGCTTATGTATCTTTCAGTGATGCAGCAGAAAGGAAAAGGAAACAAACATTTCTCAATGACAGTATTTCTTACAAACTGCCTTGGAGAAACCCAAGTTTGCATAACTCGGGCAAAGGAGCGGGACAGTGCCAACCCTTTGCAGCCACCAGGCACTCGCTTGCGTTTCAGTGTCTGCTACTTACTAGGTCAGCGACGGGAGACTTTTTCCTGTTCTGTTTTTCCACTTCTACTTGCATTTTGGCCATGGGTTTGGCCATGGCGAGGGCCATTTTGGCTTCAGCTTGCAATTTCTTTTGCCTGGTGAGGAAATCCATATCATCTAGGGATTCAGATTCCTCTTCAGTAGTGTCTCTATCAGAATAGGAAGAGCTCTGTTTGCTCTGCGAAGGGAAAAAGAGCAGCCCTGAGCTTTGCATGCCAGGTAGCATCTGGGGAGAGGGGCCAGAGCATCCCTGAGCTCTCCCGAGACTCCCCTCCATCCACTCAGCTCGCTGCACAATGCGATCTGTACCAGTCTCAACTAAAAAGGTAGTTTATTGCCTCAGTGTCAATACCAGACTGTGATTTTTAGCATAAAGAGTAGCAGAATCCTATCTAATAAAAGAGTAATATGCAAATTAACCATCAGACCCTCACTCAATCACTCTGTCACAAAGATGGCGGCGGCCACGGAGCTGGAGCCAGCAGGAGGCTTGGTTGCCCCAGCGATGGAGGAAGCCAAGCTTCCCGCCTGCCCTGGGCAGCCCTGAGCTCTGCTCAAGGCTACAAAGTTTTAATTATAGAAGATAAATAAATCCCAGATACCTGCTTCCAGCCCGCAGCTGTGGCCAGCCTGAAAACGGCCATCAGCCCCTCACCCAGGCTGGCCAGGCACCCCAGTGGGGATCCCCACCCTGAAGGGGGTGTGACCAGCCTGCAAACAGCCATCAGCCCCTCACCCAGGCTGGCCAGGCACCCCAGTGGGGATCCCCACCCTGAAGGGGGTGTGACCAGCCTGCAAACAGCCATCAGCCCCTCACCCAGGCTGGCCAGGCACCCCAGTGGGGATCCCCACCCTGAAGGGGGTGTGACCAGCCTGCAAACAGCCATCAGCCCCTCACCCAGGCTGGCCAGGCACCCCAGCAGAACCCCCACCCTGATCTGGGACACTCTTCAGGGCAAACCAGCCGGCCCCCACCCGTGCACCAGGCCTCTATCCTATATAATAAAAGGGTAATATGCAAATTAACAGCAGAACCACTGGGAATGACTGGTCATTATGACACACACTGACCACCAGGGGGCAGACGCTCAATGCAGGAGATGCCCCCTGGTGGTCAGTGTACTCCCACAGGGGGAGCTCTGCTCAGCCACAAGCCAGGCTGATGGCTGCCAGCACAGTAGTGGTGGCGGGAGCCTCTCCCGCCTCCTCAGCAGCACTAAGAATGTCCGACTGCAGCTTAGGCCTTCTCCCCGCTGGCAAGTGGACATCCCCTGAGGGCTCCCGGGCTGCCAGACGGATGTCTGTCTGCCAGCTTAGGCTCAATCCCACGGGGAGCGGGCCTAAGCCAGCAGGTGGACATCTCCTGAGGGGTCCCAGACTGCGAGAGGGCACAGGCCGGGCTGAGGGACCCCCCCCCCCGCAAAGTGCACAAATTTTTGTGCACTGGGCCTCTAGTAAATAAATAATATGAGAAACAGATTTATGACACACTTGAGACATTTCTTTGATTTGGTCTCAAAAGACACAACAATGTATTTAACCCAGAGCTAAGGCAGTGTGTTGCTCTCTGGAGTGGACAGGACCTCAGGTACCCAGTGACCAACATGGGTTCCTTGGTAAGAAAACACGATTGGTTGGTGAGAAAAGAGATGCGCAGACCTCACTGAGTGGTAAGAATTCCAGCAACAGGCTCCCATGATCAGAAGGCAGTCTGTTATAGCATGTGGGCAAGGAATGAGTAAGAAATACTATACGCACTTTATCCTGTTGGTTTCTCTGAACATCACCTCTGTGCATGAGGTTTCCCCTGAGCCCTGCCGCCCATCCTTTTAAAACGTGTCCTACTGCTGGTCTGTACTCATATATTTCTACACCCAATGGGGAAGGACTGGTGTGTAGCATATGGTCCTTAAAAAATTTTTAGGACGCGTGCAATTTCTCTTATGGTCTAATATGAAAGTAGCTGCTAACTTTAACAGAGCTTATGTAGCACTGCTGTGTCACAGGTTTGGGTTTCCAATCATTGTCACATCTTAGGAGCACGCCACGTCAGGAAATGCAAAGAGGCTGCATGGCCAGCAAAGCACACCCACTGAGCGTCGGCGGCAGCTTTGACTCACCATGGGCGACAAGGGGGTGTCCAGGCTGGTTTCCGTCTTGCTGTCATCCGCATCGCTGTCCTTGTCACTGCCGCTGTCGTTGACAAAGCAGATCTGCAGGTTCATCCCACTCTGCAGGCTGGGCAGAAGCAGACAGGACACCAATCCACTCAGCTATTTGCGATCTGGGCGCACCCAATAGAACTGTCTGGTTTTGCTAATAAAAAGCAGTTTTATGTATTCTTCACATGGAGAAGTAGGTGACCAATATGACTCCTAACTCATCAGCAGTAACATACCAGAGGTTACTAATGATCACTTGATAACTTGGTAAGTGATAACATCACAACTTTTACTAATGTATTACTTTTTCCACTCATTTCCCATTAGGTGAAAAATAATTTAGGCCACATATTTTGCCCCCAGCACAATGCCAAACACACAGTTGGTGCCCAATAAAAATGTGTGAGTCAATGAGTTTATATTCCTGTCGACGAAGACGATGGGGGTCCTTGGCCAAATGAAGCCGCATGGTGTCATCTAGTGTCCCGTCCCCTGGGGACAGTCCAAGGACTCTCTCAGAGCCAGAACCCCGGCCATAGTTCTCTGAAGACTCCTTTCTCCCTCAAACAGACAGAATAGGGTCAACTGAAGGAAAGTTTTAGTTAAGGCAGTTGCCAAAAGCCAACCAAGGGAGCTCACTTCTGTCATTAAGAAAAACACACACCGCAGTTCCCCCTAGAGGTCAATGGGGGAAAAGGAGGACCTATGTAATACTTTTAGCAATAAAGATCTAAAAAACAAAAAACCTCCACAACGGTTCACCCTAGAGCAGTGGTTCTCAACCTTCCTAATGCCGCGACCCTTTAATACAGTTCCTCATGTTGTGGTGACCCCCATCCATAAAATTATTTTCGTTGCTACTTCCTAACTGCAATTTTGCTACTGTTATGAATCGTAATGTAAATATCTGATATGCAGGATGTATTTTCATTGTTACAAATTGAACATAATTAAAGCATAGTGATTAATCACAAAAACAATATGTAATTATATATGTGTTTTCTGATGGTCTTAGGTGACCCCTGTGAAAGGTTCGTTTGACCCCCAAAGGGGTCTCGACCCACAGGTTCAGAACCACTGCCCTAGAGGAATGCAAGGAAACCCCCAACCCAGGCAGAAGCACAGTGACCCAGTGGGCTCCGCAGCCGCCTGCCTTGTGCACTCAGTGCCGCAGGGGGCACTTTCGGGAGCTCCTGAGGCTCCAGGCGTGATGGTGCTAGAGGTGGGGTCACAGAGGGTCACCAGCTGTGTCTCTGCTGTCCACCAGGCCAGACAGGGAATCCAGTTCTTTGTCCTAACCTCTCTCGAAGTGGAACACATTTCACTGCTGTCTGGCGATGGGGAGTTTTTAAAGAAGTAATTTTCTTAGCATCCCTAGTAGCCAGGTCTGTGTGTAAGAGAAGAGAAAGAAAAGGCAAATGGGGGCCCCTGGGTTGCCAGGATCGCAGGCTTGTCTAAACCAGCATCACTGCTTCACAGGGACAAGGCAAAGAAACACTGGCCTGATGGTGGACATTTGTATTTGATTTTTAAAAAATTCCAGTGGGTAGGGATGCTTAGTACAAACTGCTCAGATGACTCTATAAAGTGCTTCTTTGAAAATGATACAGGATCCAGAAAAAGAAATCTACTGGTTTAACTCGGTACCACCCTTGTTGTTTGTATATACTGCCACCTATTGTTCGTTTTCATCATTAGTGAAAGTCCCAGCTTATTTCCCCAGTAGGCGGAGTCTGTTCCCTCCCAGACCTCCTGTGCTGCAAGGAGAGCCAGGTCCAGGGCTGGGCACAGGAGCCGGCAGGTGCTGTGTGATCAGCTCAGGGTGCTTGGGTTCTGTTGGACTTGGGTTCTGATTCCTCACTTCTATGCCTAGGCAGATTACTCTATGACCCTCGGTTTCCTCATCTGTAAAATGGGGTGAATAAGTCAGTGTTTTGTAGGAAGAATGAAAAGAGTTAGCTGAGAGCCGGGCACAAGGCAGGTGCTCTGTGCATGTTAACTACCCTCCTTTCTGTTCTGTCTGAAAGCCCAAAGGAACACAGAATTTTAAAAGTGGGGTGACTTTGCAAAGGGCCCTTTAAAGTCTCGTACTGCAACACCTTGCCTGGTCACAGCAATTCCCTTATGTACACTCAGCTCTGTTAGGGCCTGGAAGTTGTCTCCTTTAACTTTCTTCTAGAAATTTTTTTCTGGAGAAATCTGATATGTATAGGTTACCCTTTGATCCCATATAAATTAAGTTTTAAAATTTATTGTCTGTAGTTGGTAAAAAAAAAAAAAAACACACACCCAAATATCAACCCATTTTTAATAATAAAACCCAAGACGTATGGATTGGAAGATAATGGGAAATAAAATTGCAAATTAAAAACAAACATTTAAAAATAAAAATGCATTTTAAATTAAACCTAATTTGAATCTAAGATTAGGTAACACTTTCTATTTATTGAATAGCTAAAGTTTTGAAAAGAAGCAGCTGGCCACGGGATACACAGATTATAAAAATATAAAATAACCCAGGATACAATTACAAAATAATATTGAAAACATCTAAAGATATATATTCTGAAGAAAGTTGATTGTAAATTCTATTGTTCTGCCCCCAAAATGAACTTTGTGCTAGGATCAACTCAGTCCTAAATCAACCACCTCACACCGAATTTCTAACTCAAGAAAGGCAAGGGGAAAAGAGGAGGGGGAGGGGAAAGGATTTAGCAGTCAGAGCAAAATGAAAAAGCACCTCAGGTAGAAATTCAGAAAATCGCCTTAGTACCACATTATCTCCGTGGGAAACCGAACAGAGCTTCTTACAGGGTGAGACTGATAATTCCTCATAGCGGTAATCACCAAGAATGTTCCTCTCAGGAAAAGGAAATTATGTGACATAACAGCTAATGGTTCAGAGGGGATTTTTGTAAAGATGTCTTTAAAACGGACTCAAGTTTCAAAAAGGATTTGTTTGCCTTTAGCCTTTAAGCAGGTTTTAAGATGAAGGTGGTTTGGGGGAAATTCACCCACAGTCCCAAGCAGCGGCCTGGCTGTGGGTGAGCAGGGCCACCCGGTTGTGCTGAAGGCCTCTGTGTCCAGGGTCAAGTTCGATAACCCCTGTCCTGGCCCCTGCCGGCCTGGTCTCTATCCCTCACACTGCAGGGCATCCATCCAGCCTCACTCACAACCAGGCTACACAGTCTTCAAAATCCAAGCTGCAAGGGGTCTAACCTATCGATCTCTCAAGCACAGTCTGAGGTGGAAACAAAACACACCGCGAATCCTGTTAATTAGGGATATAATTTAAGGCAGGGGTCCTCAAACTACGGCCCTCGGGCCACATGCAAATACAAATATTGTATTCGTTCCCGTTTTGTTTTTTCTTCAAAATAAGGTATGTGCAGTGTGCATAGGAATTTGTTCATAGTTTTTTTTAAACTATAGTCCGGCCCTCCAATGGTCTGAGGGACAGTGAACTGGCCCCCTGTTTAAAAAGTTTGAGGACCCCTGATTTAAGGTATCCACGCCAAGGCTGCTTGATGTTTCGAGTGGCATTTGGCAGAGCATTGCCTGCAAGGGCTGCCTGACTTCTGCCTCGCCTGTGGATTTTCCTCCTGAAGGGTCTGCATCCTGGTTCTCCCAGAAACCTCTTCTCCTTATGCACCACGAGGCAACGGAAAGCCACACTGCTGACCAGAGCTGCTGACAGGGAGCCGAGAGCATCTGGAGAGGGGGTGTTCTGGACGGGGAATGCTCTCAAAGACGAAGAGATAAAGACTGTGTGCAGAAGTGGCTTTCCGAGCCACTATCGGCCAGGAGTGCGAAGGCATTTATTTAGTGGAGAGGATGTTCAGCACCCGCGTCTGCTTGGCATTTCCAGAGAGGAAGATGGCTACTTGGAAAATGCTTGTGCTGACTTCCAACCACTGCTACCAGGGATATTACAAAAATATGCACAAAACTGAGAGGGTGGTAGAGATGAGAAGAGAATGCTTCAAAAACTTAGCCAGTGGTCACTGGAATAAAGACGATACTTTATTTTCAAAATGCAAGGAAAAGACGGGTTTATTTCCTGTGACAAACAATGCAATGGTCCTAAAGTTTGCTGAATGGTGAGCCGGGCCTTAGTCCCTGGCCTCGGGTGTGGTGACTGGGACCGGGCGCCTGCAGCCGGCTCTGAACCCCAGAACTATTTGGTGCTCTCTGATTTTAGAAATCGGAATCTCCCAGGACCGAAAATAGCATGGCCACCAGCATTTCCATATATTTAAAATTCGTTGGCTTTACCCCCTACACCACCCCTTTGTTAACTGGACAACCAACCACCTGTGGATTACAGGCAAGGTAACACCTACTCAGAGAAGTCAAACTACCTGCCCCGGAACCGTGACAGCCTGATTATAAACATGGTCCTCATTTCTCCCTCTGTAATAGGACTCTGCGGCTCCTTCCAGGCCGGCCTCCTGACTTGTGTTGGCCCACAGAATGCAGAGGAAGGGACTTTGTCCTGGCTCCAAGCCTCCCTTCTCAGGGAACCCCACCCCACGTCCAGGTTAGTCTGCTGGTAGATGAGTGACTTTACAGCACGGAGTTCAATCAGCAGCTGTCGCAACTGAGCCTGGGGACACATGACAGAGCTCAGCTAAGAGCAGTAGAGGCACCTCAACAACCCACAGTCTCCACAGACATACGAGCTGCTCAGCTGACCTATACAGGCTCCCAAGCCGAAACCAATGCTTACTGTTGTAAGCCACTGATGTGGGTGGTTTATTACACACCATCACTGAGGCAACAGATAACTGGTACAAGGTCACAAAGCAAGAGACTACAGGCTGGACCTCTGGTTTTGGAATCCAATGTCCTTTCCTCCATACTACACTTGACCTTAGGTTTGGATTTATTAGATCCTGACTGTGATGGCCATATAATTTTAAAGGGCAGATACCTCCTGTAGTTGCTAATACTTTCAAGGCAATTGTACAGTTTCCTTAAGAACAGAGTGAGAGGGAACTTCCCGTGTGCCTATGGATCTCAAACATGCTTTGCTCATTATCTGTCCACAACCAGAGTGACTAAGAACCACGGGCC